GTTGCTGTCTCCCTCGCTGACCCCTCTGGGGGCCCGGTCGTTGCGACCTCCTCCACTGTCCTTCCCTGTCCTGCGGTCCCGTCGGGCACACTGTCCGGTCTCCACCTCCCCTCGTTCTCTACGAACCTGGTGGCAGGGTGTGCGCTCCAGGACGCGGGTGTTCACCAGTTCACCCCTGCCTACGAGCGCGTGACCCACTGCACGTGTGCTCGTACGGGCCGTCACTTGGCTACCTTCACTAGACAGCCGGGGTCGGACCTGTACACACTGACCACTGAGTCCCCTCAGGTCGCTGCGTCTGCGTCTGCGTCCGGTCAGCTGTCGGCCCCCTGCTCGTGTCGCTCTCTCGCGCACGAGACTGTCCTCTGGCACCACCGACTTGGCCACCCGTCTGTGCAGCGCCTTCGTGCCATGCACTCCCGGTACCTTGTCTCTGGTCTTCCCAGGGTTCTCCCTCCCCTCCCACCCTCGCCTGCTCCTCCCTGTCTTCCCTGTGTCGAGGGGCGGCAGCGCGCCGCTCCTCACTCCTCCTCGTTTCCCCCGACGACTGCTCCCTTGCAGACACTCCACATGGACGTGTGGGGCCCAGCCCGCGTCCGTGGTCAGGGTCAGGAGAGGTACTTCCTGATAGTTGTTGACGACTACTCGCGCTACACCACGGTCTTCCCCTTGCGCACCAAGGGTGAGGTCCCTGATGTTTTGATCCCTTGGATCCGCAGAGCTCGTCTCCAGCTCAGCGAGCGTTTCCACTCGGACTTTCCTGTCCTGCGCTTGCACTCTGACAGAGGTGGTGAGTTCTCCTCCGACCTCTTGGCAGCCTACTGTGCTGAGCACGGCATTGAGCAGTCGTTCACGCTTCCGGCCTCTCCACAGCAGAATGGGGTTGCGGAGCGCCGCATTGGCTTAGTCATGGAGGTCGCCCGTACCTCCTTGATCCATGCGGCTGCCCCCCACTTTCTATGGCCGTTTGCGGTCCAGTACGCTGCGCATCAGCTCAACCTCTGGCCCCGTGTCTCCATGCCGGAGACCTCGCCCACACTGCTGTGGACGGGGGAGGTTGGCGATGCGTCGCGTTTCCGGGTCTGGGGATCTCGAGCCTTTGTCCGCGATACGTCCACGGACAAGCTCTCCTCCCGCGCTGTTCCCTGCGTCTTCCTTGGCTTTGTCCCTGACGCGTCTGGTTGGCAGTTTTACCACGCCACCTCGCGCCGGGTCCTGCCCTCTCAGGACGTCACTTTTGACGAGTCCGTCCCCTACTACCGCCTCTTCCCCTACCGCACTGCCCCCCTCCCCCCTCCGCCGCTCTTCCTCGCACCAGGTGCTGCTGTGGTAGACCCCCTCCCCCCTCAGGGTGCCGCTCCCTCAGGTGTGTCCCAGGTAGACCCGGTTGAGCCTGTTGAGGTAGCTGTTGACTCCCGCCCTGCTGCGGGTGCGGAGCCTGGGGGTGCTGAGCCTGGGGGTGCGGAGACTGGGGGTGCTGAGCCTGGGGGTGCTGAGCCTGGGAGTGCTGAGCCTGAGGGTACTGAGCCTGGGGGTGCTGAGCCTGGGGGTGCTGAGACTGATGCGGAGTCCGGTGTCTGGGGGTTCTGAGTCTGGGGGTGCTGGGCTTGGGAGTCCTACACCTGGGGGAGCTCTCTCCTCGGAGCGGCTGCGTGAGTGGTACTCAGAGTACTGCAGCCTCAGGAGAGGTGCCTCTGGAGCCAGGAGTACTACTGGGACTGGTGCTGGTGCCTCCCCTCCTCAGCGGGAGCTGCCCTCTCTTGAGCGGATCCGTGAGTGGTACGAGCGGCGCTGCACTCTCCGGAGTGGCGCGCCTGGTGTCGCGGACCCTGGTGCTGGAGTTGGAGCTGCTACTGGTGCTGCGGACCCGGGCGTTGGAGCTGCTGCTGGTGCTGCGGACCCTGGAGTTGGAGCTGCTGCTGGTGCTGCGGACCCTGGCGTTGGAGCTGCTGCTGGTGCTGCGGACCCTGGAGTTGGAGCTGCTGCTGGTGCTGCGGACCCTGGCGTTGGAGCTGCTGCTGGTGCTGCGGACCCTGACGTTGGAGCTGCTGCTGGTGCTGCGGACCCTGGAGTTGGAGCTGCTGCTGGTGCTGCGGACCCTAGAGTTGGAGCTGCTTCTGGTGCTGCGGACCCTGGAGTTGGAGCTGCTGCTGGTGCTGCGGACCCTGGCGTTGGAGCTGCTGCTGGTGCTGCGGACCCTGGAGTTGGAGCTGCTGCTGGTGCTGCGGACCCTGACGTTGGAGCTGCTGCTGGTGCTGCGGACCCGGCCGCGGCCGTACTTCGTTCCGCTCCTTCAGCAGGTTCTTGGTCAGCCTCCTCCTCCTTGTCCTGCTCCCTCCTTAGAGTGTCCTCCGCCTGTCCAGTCGCAGTCCCCGTTACCGCCTGCCTTGCCGCTCCCTGGTCCTTCTCCTTACACTGGTCCCACAGGAGGTCTTACGGAGCGTCGTGAGCCTGAGTCTCGTCCTGTGTCGCCTGCGTCTCGCTCTGCGTCACCTGTTCGTGCTGCTCGCACTGGTCGTCGTGTCCCGCGTGAGCGTCCTCCTCCTGTCCTTGGCACTCACTACATGACTCTGCGTCCCTCCACTGCTCCTCAGCGCGTCCCTCTGCCGTCTCCTCCTGCGTCCTCTCTTCCTACCCTTCCTGACCCGGAGTCTGACTCCCTTCGTGCTGCTCGTCCTACTGTCACGCGTCTCCTCGCTACTGTTGTCACTGACCCGACCTTTGAGTCCTCTGCTGCGTCTGCTCTTGTCGCTGAGTTAGTTGACTTTGCTGCCGCTTGTCGTCTCGACTACGCCGCTAGCCTAGTTGCTGCGTCTGAGTCTGTCTGTCCTCCGTTCGTCGGGGGTGAGTGTGCTCTTGGCACGGACGTCCTTGAGGACAGGCAGGAGGAGTTCCAGTGCTTTGCTGCTGCTTTGCCTCATCTCGTGTCCATGCTAGTTGCCCCTGAGGGAGACCCGGATGCACCAGACATCCCGACCCCGCGCTCTTACGCAGAGGCGATAGCGGGTCCCTACTCCTCTCAGTGGCAGACAACCATGGACGCAGAGATGGCTTCCTGGAAGTCTACAGGCACCTACGTCGACGCAGTTCCCCCACCAGGGGCGAACATCGTCAGTGGCATGTGGATTTTCAGGGTGAAGCGGCCGCCGGGTTCTCCGCCTGTCTTCAAGGCGCGTTACGTTGCTCGAGGCTTCAGTCAGCGTGAGGGAGTCGACTTCTTCCAGACCTTCTCCCCCACCCCGAAGATGACCACTCTTCGGGTGCTGCTGCACATAGCTGCTCAGCGCGACTACGAGCTTCACTCTCTTGACTTCAGCACTGCTTTCTTGCAGGGTAGCCTGCACGAGGAGATCTGGCTGCGTCGCCCTCCTGGCTTCACTGGGTCGTTTCCTCCTGGTACCCAGAGGAGCCTCCGGCGGCCGGTCTACGGTCTCCGCCAGGCACCACGTGAGTGGCACGATACACTGAGGACGACACTTGCGGCACTTGGGTTCGCGCCTTCTACTGCTGACCCGTCGCTGTTTCTGCGCACAGACACTTCGCTGCCGCCGTTCTACATCCTCGTGTACGTCGACGACTTGGTCTTTGCCACTGCTGACACTCAGGCTCTCGCCCACGTGAAGTCGGAGCTGCAGAAGAGACACACGTGCACAGACCTGGGTGAACTGACAAGCTATCTTGGCTTGCGGATCATCCGGGACAGAGCACGGCGCACCATTACCTTGACTCAGTCACACATGGTGCAGCAGGTCCTTCAGCGCTTCGGCTTCACGTACTCCTCGCCTCAGTCCACTCCTCTGCCTACCGGTCACTCGCTCTCAGCTCTGCCTTCGGATGAGTCCGTAGAGCCGAGTGGCCCGTATCCAGAGCTTGTGGGCTGCCTCATGTACCTGATGACCTGCACTCGACCTGACCTTGCATACCCTCTTAGCATTCTTGCACGCTATGTCGCTCCTGGCCGTCACCGGAAGGAGCACATGGATGCCGCTAAGAGGGTGTTGCGCTATTTGTGCAGTACGTCGGGCATGGGGCTAGTGCTTGGAGGGCGAGACCGAGTTGTTCTCACTGGGCACTCAGACGCGTCTTGGGCAGACGACCAGGCCACTCAGCGGTCGTCACAGGGTTACACTTTCAGCCTTGGCTCTGGTTCAGTTTCTTGGCGTTCTACACGTTCTTCTTCAGTTCTCAGCTCCAGTTGTGAGGCTGAGATCTACGCCACAGCCATGGCAGCCCAGGAGCTACGCTGGCTCACCTACCTGTTGACCGACTTGGGAGAGCGGCCTCGTTCTCCTCCAGTGCTGTACGTCGACAACAAGGCTGCCATTGCCTTGTGTGAGGAGCACAGACTGGAGCACAGGACGAAGCACATCGCTCTGCGGTACTTTCTGGCTCGAGAGCTGCAGCAGCGTGGTCAGCTTCGTCTGCGTTACGTGGCCACTGAGGCCAACACTGCTGACGTGTTCACCAAGGCGCTTCAGCCTTGTGACCATCAGCGCTTCTGTACTCTTCTAGGCCTTGTGCCTACTGGACCTCACTTGCTTACTTCTTGACTTTGCTTGTACTGTGATCCCTATATATATACCTGCATGCTTTCACTTGCTAGGTTGTGATCACTGTACCTCTTGCTATATTATCAAACTGCATGTGAACTGGTCTTGTGACCACTTGCTTGTGCTCAGAATTTGTGTGGTATCCTTGAGATCCACCCTGAGCTTGTTTTGCCTTGCTTTGCTTTGACTGGTCTTGTGACCCTCTGGTTGTCTCCCACTTCGCCTATGGGGGTGTGTCAAACATTGTATGTTTATATTGTGTAGGCTATAGTGGGTTTAGCCTTAGAGGGTACACAAACTTAGGGTTTCCTACTTGTACCCAACTTCCTGCTAGTTCATCCATTCTCGTTCTATTCTAAGATTCTAACAGCGTCTTCCAACATTGCGGCCACCTCCGAACGCAGGATCACAACAAGCGGAGTCACCAATGCTCTCAACACCGTCATCGCCATGCTTTCCGGTCGTGAGAAGCCGCGCCTGGGCATGGACGGACCACAGGAGAGGGAGTCAGACGGGGTCGTGGAGAAGGAGGCAGGGAAGAGGGTCGCGGATAAGGAGACGGCGAAGAAGGCGGCAGACAAGGAGACAGGGAAGGCTGAGAGCAACCGCGGAGGGAAGCGGCAGAAAGGTCTCGCGGTCCTTAGTGTCACCGACATCCTGAAGAGCAAGGGGGGCGCGGTCGATCTGCGTGCAGGGTAGATCCCCAGGGGAACCACCAGGGGGGATGTTGCTGAGAGACCACCGCCTGCCCCTGCGGCAGTGGCAGCTGGTAAGGGCAAGGCTAAGGTCGAGGACGCCCCGACGACCACCACCACCACCATCACCACCACCACCACCACCACCACCACCACCACCACCACCACCACCACCACCACCACCACCACCACCACCACCACCACCACCACCACCACCACCACCACCACCACCACCACCACCACCACCACCACCACCACCACCACCACCACCACCACCACCACCACTACCACCACCACCACCACCACCACCACCACCACCACCATCACCACCACCACCACCGCGCTCGTGCCCGTGGTAGGCAACACCACCGCGATCGCACCTTGACAGCCTAAACCCAGCTCAACTGCCCCTACATTACCCTCCGCTGCAGATGTCGCTGTCAAGGCAAAGAATCAGGGCCGCGGTGGTTGTAAGCCACCTGCAGCCGCGATGAAACAGGACCAGGACGACGACGACGACTCGGACATGGATGATGAGGTTGAGCTGGTGCTGCAAAGGTTCGTTGGGCCGAGCGGCACTAGCGGCAAGAGCAAGGGCTGTGGTATCCGCCCTCCACCCAGGGGTGGAGAGGGGATGGTCAGCGAACCGTGGCTTGGGGGGAGACATCGCTGGCTGGGTCATCACTCCCTCCAAGAGGTGCAGTACCTTACCGCGATCGCGATGATGTAATACGACAAGAAGGTGGATTCTAGGCTCAAGCTGACTCCGCAACAGTTAAGGGACTAGGCCGAGGACATCTCCGTGGTCGATGAGATGTGCACCAGGCTTTCGCCCCATGCACCTCCGAAACCTTTGCGGCAACGTTGACAGGTACGCTCGTGATCAAAGTTTGATTTAAAAAATGCCCTGTACCCATCAACTACGTTAATAAACAATGTCCCCATGCATGCAGGTACCACCACATGTTCAAAGCATACCGCAACATCATCCGTACCACATCCAGTACAAGCAACATGGACGCGTGGGCAACTGTGGTGGGGAAGGAGGCGGTAGGCGAAGAGCCTGATGTCACTGTCGCCCAGGAGAGCCTGTTTGCCGGTGCGGTCACGTGCGCGATTGCGATGGTGTGGGAGACCTGCAACAATCTCGATCTTAATGGAATTGCGGATGCTGGATTCGTGGCGGCGCTATGTGCAGGCACCCCCGAAGAAAAGGCCCGCGGATACCCCTCTATTGTGCTGGCGATCTTCAAGAGGGCCAGGAGTGAGAGTACTCGCCAGCACACGACCGAGGTCACGCCGAAGCAGGTCGCGGAGGCTATCGAGTCCGCAGTCATGAACCGGCTTGGAGGGCCCCTTGGGGATCCCTCCCTAGTCACCATGGTCGCGCACGAGGAAGTCGACATGTTGATGACATGGTGCGACAGCAAGATCACGGCCAAGCTGATGGAGGCCAACAGGCTCTACCTTGCTCTGCCTGAGAAGTGCTTGTCTGCGAAGAAGAGGTCCACGTAAATGTGGTAGTTAGTTTGTTCCATACGCTGGAGTTTTACTCGCGGTGGGAAACAGTTGGTGCTCGAAACTCTTGTTTGTGTAGTTGCATGAGACTCTTGTAACTGTAGGTAGATTGTCCACCCTGGTTGAGTTTTTTCTCGCGGTGGACATTCTGTCTATGCTTTTTACTCCCATCTTTGTATTCCAAATCTTTTTCCTGCTATGCCAGTGTCCCTAAATGCGATCAATGATGCGGGGTCAGAAACATGTTTCATCCGCGTTGGAAATACACGCGCACCTATGCAATGGGTGCATCCTTTTTTAACTTGTGTCTACACACCCAGGATGCATCTAATTGAACCACCATAAGTCAACAGCTAACACTATGTACAAGCACTAATACGCGAACAATATCTTCACCCCAAGGGCGTGTAGTATGGAAGGTAGCACAAGAATAGTAGCAGTTGCGAACAAGTATCTTTAGTTACAAGCACCACTACTCGGACAATTTCTTCACACAAGGGCGGATAGTGTGAAAGTTAGGACAAGCATAGGAGCAGTCGCAAACAATTATTCATAGCTACTCGAATGGTGGTATCTGTGCACAGTATTGTGGCCACGCGACCAGGAACTCTGTCGCAGGAAGAGCCGCATCAATAAGACGGTGGATTACAAGCATCCATTTCACACGCAGCTGCACTTCCGTTGATGGCCCGTTCTTGAGCTAGCTGAGATCCAGCTCCACAATCTTCTTCTTAATCGCGGTCCTTTCCGAGAGGCCCGCGAAGTCGACATCCTTTTCCAGGAGATTGAGCTTGTTGAGTACTACCGCGAGATCGTCTCTTTGCTCCACCCTGCTCGCGATTAAGTCCATGACTCGCTTGACACGATTGATCGCGTTCTGTCTGCCTTCAGACTTTCCAGTGAGCTGTTCCAATCCCGTTAGTGAACCGCAGTGCCACATGAGCGATTCTACACTCTCCTGGATCAGCGGATGCACGAACTTGTATAGCTTCCATCCGTCCGACGGTTTGGTCGCTCGGATCCATCGGATCCACGCGAAACGTCTCGTCCCTGGTTGGCTCTGCGGGTTTTCTTTTTGGCGCTTGTGCGGTGGGTGTTGTAGCATTGGTGGACGTGGCAACGCCTCCTTGATAGCTTGCCTGAGTTGGATTCGCGGACGGCCCTGAGCCGTTTACGCTGAGATGCAAAAGCTGTGCCTCCAGCTCGTTCACGCGCTCGTCCTTCGCGGCCAGTTTCTGGTCGCGCTCCTCCACCTCCTTCTCTAGCTCGGTGACCCGTTTCTGAGTCGCGACCAACAATAGGCCTAGCCTGATGTTGTCTGCTTGCGCACGAGATAGGTACTCCGTGAGGACGGTCACCTGGTGTTGCGCTTTCATCCTGGTACTGACCTGCTGCATGGACAGAGGGCGCGAGCATTTGTGTGATGATTGGGCATTGACATACTGCCGAATTACTAACGCGATCAGGGTTGTACTTACCGCGCCACGAGTCAGGGTAGGTGTGTTGCGATGTACTATGGCCAGTTGATCTGCCAATGGGACATCTGCAGCCCACTCTGCAAACTCCTCCTTCTGGCATAGCGGATTCCCGACCACGTACGGGTGTTTTGGCTGGTGAATGTAATACATGGCCAGGTCGGTCGTGACCGCCATCCGACCCTCGCCGTCCAGCTCTCGCAGTATGTTGAGTCCCGCGGTGTCCTGCTTCTCCGGCTTGTTCTCGCTGACCAGCCGCCTGTTGTAATCCATGCACTGTTTGCTAAACAAAAAAATGCGGTAAGGAACGCGGTATAAGGTATGCTCGCGATCGTCTTAGATTATGGTGCGCGGCCCCAAACGTACCTGTCTCTGTCCTTTGTCAGGGGCGGCCCAAGGGAAAATGTGCTCCCTGAGTAGCTTCATCAGCTCCTCGCTGGGCGGGACCTTTGCACGACCCAGGTAGTAGTCACCGTCCACCCCTGTAAAACCCACCTTCAGCAGCACGACCTCCTTCAAAATCGTGGTGATGTAGTGTTCAGTCATCACATCTATGAAGCGCCATCCCCCAGTCTTGCCAGCTGAGGCGGAAGGCATTCCTTCCGCGAACGCGTGCTGCGCCCCACCTGCCCTGGTCGCGTGGACCACTCGCGAGCATGTGATTCCCGCGTCCTCCAGGATCTTTGCAGCCCAGTCGTGATGGGTCGTGGGCGGTATCCGCTTCTCCTTACCCTGGCGAAGGGGAAAGTAGAGGTACTGGTCGTACCACTTCGCAGGTTCAGAAAAGTCGAGAAGGGGGGCTATGTTCTCGTAGAGGACGGGAACCATGTTGTATACCCATTGTGCGCACAGGGTCCAGTCGATGTGCCGCACCGTCGAGATGTAGTTGAGCGAGAAGTTATTGCTTGTCTTGCCCGTTCTGCACGCGCAGACAAACATGAACACGTCTTTCACCGGATGAGTCTCCAATTTAGCGCCGAGGTTCCACATCATCATGTCTGGCAGATGAAGGTTTCTGATCGTTCACCCATGGGCTAGAGTGTGATGATCAAGCACGGTCATTGTCTGGATGTAAAGATCGCGATGAAGGCTCTGCGTGTAAACGCGTTGGGCAAGTGCGAAGCTGTTCAAGTTGGCGGCCATGTTGGTCTTCCGCATCATATGCTTGAACTGTTCCGGGGTGTATGTGTCCACGGCATTGCCCCAATGGCGATCCATGTGTTCCCTGCGCAACCCGGATCATGATAGTATGCGTGTTAGTTGACGCGGTCGTGCGGGTTAGGCACGCGGGACAAGCTTAATTAGGCGGTTGCATAACGCATACTCACGCAATAAAACGGTTGTACTGGTCGCAGACTTGAACACGGACCTAGATGCGACACTCTGCAAAGCCGCGCAGCAGGTTCAGCACTGGTTTTCGGAAGATGGCCCCATCGAGCTTGATGAGCAGGTTCAGGGCCTTGAGACGGCCCAATAGCATTGCAGGGGTGCACTGTCGTCTCTTCTTCAAGGTCTTGTCGGGCCTTTCAAGTCTCGCCAACCTGTCCGCATGGGCGATCGTCTCGTTAGGGAGGAAGACCACGTGCTTGCGTAAGCGCCACGGATTAGTCTCGGGGCTGTGGAACCACTTCTCGTCGCCCTTTGCCCTCTTCCACCTCCTACCCATGTTCTGTTCCAGCGCGACCTCAATCTCATCAGGGTTCGTGTTCTTCAACGCGGCCTCTTCGCCGAACATCCCCTCGTCAAGTTTTGACAACTCGTGCCCCATGAACCGCTTGTACTCGTTGGCCCAACCGCGATACTTTTTCAGGGTCGCCTCAGAGAGACCATATAGGATTCCCATGCACATCTCTCTTTTAGCGGTCGGGGTATCGTCCACCCCAAGCCTGTTCCAATCCGCGATCGGGGCCCAGTTGGATCTTCGCGGTACCCGCACTCGTTAGTTGTCCTCCGCCTCGTCCTCATCTAGCGCGGTCAAGACATTCTCTAGGTAGTTTTCGTCATCGTCATTCCACCCGTCGCCATCATCGTCGCTGTCCTCATCATCATCCTTGTCGTCATCCTCCTCATCGTCGCTCCGCACTCTCCCCCCTCACCTGTCCCGTTGCGGACAGTCTTTGGCACTACATCAACTCTACGCCTCTTGACACGGGGCCTGTGAGCCGGATGGTTCGACCCTGGTGCCCTCCTAATATCTCTCTGTTGATTCTCGTTACCACCGTTCGTGATCCATGCGTTCGCGGTACCTGCGTCCCCTCTACTACCGTTCCCCCTTTCACAGTTCCCTCTCCCCCCGTTCGCTCTCCCACCATGCCCTCTCGCATCGTTCCCTCTTGCACTGTTCCCTCTCCCTCCGTTCCCTCTACCTCTGCCTGTCGCGTTCGCAGAAGTTGGTTGCGCGGGGGTGCGGACGTGCACGTCCGAGTTGCCTGGCAACAGTGAGTTCATGTTCCATATTAGAGGCGAACGTACACGCGTGCTTGCATTCATCCCTGGTTCGGAACAAGGTGATGCGCGAGCACCAGTCACCGCATGTCAGCGTCCCTCTGTAACCGCATTTGATGATGGGTCCGTGGTATGTGCTGGTATGTCTACACAGACCACTATTGGATCCTGAGGATCTGGCGGGGTTTCGGCCGTCGGTGGGACCTATGTTGGAATCGCGTTAGGAAAGGGGGTTGCGGGAGCGGCAGGAGGCGTCACGATAGTTACGCATGTATGCGCCATGGGATCTGGTTGTACACCGATGTATCCGTACCTAAACCCGAAATTCCGGTATTGCGGCCCGACGTAGCCACGAACAGGCATCCCAAAGGGCTGGGTTGAGTGACCGATTGCGGCCACGTTGTGTCGTCCGTCCATCTGTGATACAAGATGAGGCGTGAATAATCCGTTCTGACCATCTTATTGGGTTTGGAACGTGACCGTCACTGATGCTAATGGAATCTGTGGCCGCGGTGCGAGGTGAATCCCGTTGATCAATTGCTGAGGGTGGAATGCAGACATTCGGGATCCAAATATTACTAGCTGCACGTATGGGGTGCTCCAGGTCAGAGTGAGCACAGGCATGTTTTGCACTGAAGCGGTAGCTGGTTCTGCTGTGTGAGACTGGGGCGCGTGTGTATTGCCTGTGGCCGTAAGGGAGTCGTAGAGTAAAGGCGCCGCGATGCGTTCCACGGTATGCATGCATCATACGAGGTTGCCCCTACTCCTACGCAACGCGTGTGACAACATGATGCCCTGTCTCTACGCGATTACTATAGTGGAACGTGTACAATCTACCGTGATAGCTACGCCTCTCGAGTTGTTGTACTATCGGTTCGTGTGCACTATCGCGATCACGTTTATCATGGTCAACAATCCCAAACGATGGGCGTTGATACCGCGACACCCTGTTTGCGCCTCAGTCATTAGAAATGCAATGGGCTAGAAAGGGAAGACCATGATATGCAAATAGCGAGCGTACATGTAGGGAGATTGGGTGTAATGGCCGAACACGGCTTAGACGTGCTTCCCACGTCA